TTCAGAAACTTTGACCGAAGGAAATATTAATAAATTAAAAATGTTTAGTCCAAAATTTCATCTTGTCTGCTGTCGCTTAGGTCGCATTGTTACCATAGCAACACACAATTTCTTCTTTCGAACGACTATGCTTGAAGTATAAAGATTATGCAAACGTTTCTCCTTCCAAAAAATCCCCATTTCACATAAGTAGCAAATATTTTGCGTCATTGTGAAGACCTTATTTTTCGCTGCTGTTTCTTTACAACTGCAGGGAGCCACCTGGCAGGCACAAGAAAATATATTGGGCATGGAAATTTTGAACGGAATTGGTTATGTACAATTTTAACCGCTGCGAAAAATGCAACTATAGGCTTTCTGGTAGGAATCGAGCCAGCGCAGCGCTCTAACCAACTGAGCTACAGAAGCCAGTTGTCGAGTTCTAAGTCTAGTAGCTTTTCCAAAAAGGGCAATGTTAGCAAAAACAGCTTTTGCGCAGTGTTTGAAACCTGACCACAGAAAATACGTTGTTATAAAGCACATGAAAATATATGTTAAAAATATATGAATTATTTATTTAACTATCGAGCTCATTGGAGGTTATTTGTTTCTTCCATTTTGTCTATTCCGCAATTCCTTTCGCATCCAATACTCCCTGGACTCTGCTCAGGTAGAATGGATCAGGCAAATCTATCCTACAATGAATAAATATCCGGAGTAGTTACTGCTAATGATCTGCAAAGTACTAAAACTCAATGTGCTTTGTTTGTGCACAGTTTTTGCCTGTAACTATTCAAGGCCTATTTTGAGGAGGCTTGGAGAAGAGCGCGAGCACGTCACGTGATACACGATCACGCGCGTTGAAACACGCGTGGACTCAAGTCAGGCAAAGTAAGAATAGGCTCATTTGCGTACATACGAATTTGAAGTTCCGCGCAAGAACTTTGAAGTTTGTCAACAAAAAGTTACAAGATGTGTTCGTACTGATTGTTCCCAGTTGTTGACAAATCTGGAACAAGTTGTTATCATCTTGTAACAAGGTTAATGAGGCCAACAGCCTCACAACAAGTTGTGCCAACAAGTCTGACGTCATCTGCATGTAACAAATTGTTGACAAGTTGACGACAACAAGCTTGTAGTAACTTGTTACGAACAGCGTGTATTAGTCTTGTTGGAACAACTTATAGCAAGTCTGTTACTGCCATCAACCTTGTAAAAAGATTGATAACAACTTGTTCCAGACTTGTCAGAACAACTCGCAGGCTAACTGGGAACAAGCAGTGCGAACACATCCTGATATCGGCTTTACAACAACCTTGTTAGAACTTGTTTACAGATCCGGAACAACTTGCGCGTTTTTATGTGTGTTGAAACACGCGTGGACTCAAGTCGGTTAGTTAATAAGTCAATTAACAAAGCTAATAATTATACAAGTTAATTAGTCAGTCAGCTATGTGTAGTTAATAGTAACTACGTAACTGACTGACTAATTAACTTGCATAATTACTAGCTTTGTTAATTGATTAATTGATTTAATAGTAAAACGTTCGTTCCAGGGGCGTAGGAAGCATCAAAAGATTAGGGGGCACCCGTTTACAGGGGCACTTTAGGACATTGAAAAGGGCACCTAAAAATTTTTCCCGGAAATGTTTGCGCGGGGGGGGGCAGGGTTTGCGCGCGGAAGAAAAATTTTCCCGTCATACCATACCGAAATTGCTCGTTTTGGACCACATTTTTTTAAAAAAACTTGGAAATTTCCAAACAAAAAGCTGTGCTGAGTGGTTATATTACTACCTTAAAAAATAAGCAGAAACTCGACGTTTCGAGCGAAGGCCCTTCGTCAAGAATTAGTAGGGCATTTTTTATGTTAATTTAGTATTTACAAAAAGGGCATCTTTGATGTTAATTTGGTATTTACAACGACATTAGCTTCTACAAAAAGGAGACTTTTCATCACAAAAAGGGCACTTTTAGTCCTACGCCCCTAGTTCGTTCGTTAGTAACTTGCAAGTTGTGTTGTTATGTTTGCCAAGGGCTTAATCTTGCTGGGACTTCGAGTCCATCCGTTAGCCCCTCATCAAGTTACTCAAAATTTTTGGGATTACTTTCACTCTCTATATATATGTAATATGTTGTTTATAATTCACTTGATAAAAGTTTCTAAAAATCGGCATTAAAATAAAACAAAATAAATGTTAGTTTACAGATTTAATGAGTTATTTTTTAATCAGTTGTAACTTTAATTAGCAATAGTTATTTACACACGTAAAAAACTCACGTCTTGTCAACAAGGTGTGTTCACAAGCCGACGGTCGCGCGTTCGATTCCCACCGTGACCAGGCACACGTTTCAGCCTACCCGGCCGATGTGGATATACATTCAGAGTAACATTACAAACATTACTCACCTGAGTACATTACATCAAAAACACATACAAAAAATATCTTGTAACGATGCTGTTATTTTATCAAGTTGCTACAAAGTTATCACTCATTGACAACACAAGGTCGTAACAACCCACCGGGCACACGACGTTGTCTCAACGTTGAAATTTGGTAGAAAAAAGGTTGCGACGTCGACAACCTAATATCTACGTTGCTCTGACGTTGTTTTACAAACATTGGTTCAACAGCAGCCAACAGACGTTGAATTAACGTTCATTCATGGTTAAATGTACGACGTCGATTTGTGAACCAATCTCAACGTTGTTTTAACGTGGATTCAACGTTGAATTATGGTTGAAGAGATTGGCAACCTAATTTCAACGTTGTTTCAACGTCGAAACAGTAACGTCGATCAATTTGCATAGTCAACCCTTTTTCAACGTCTATCCAACGTCTGGAAGGTCATTTCCAACGTTGATTCAACGTTGGATAAACGTCATTTTGCCCGCTGGGAATATTGTTATATCATGACTGTATTGGACTTGTCGGAACAACCTTATATACCAAGCCTGACAATATCAATACTCGAACCGACCTGACCGCGCAGCTCAGTTGGCAGAGCATTGGGCTAGTATTCCAAAGGTCGCGGGTTCGATTCCCACCGTGGTCAGGCAAACGTTTCAGCCTACCCGGCCGATGTGGATATACACTCAGAGTAACATTACAAACATTATACTTACC